CCTATACCCTGATCCGGTTTACGATCGACCAGGAGGACCTCTGTCTTGTCAGGATTGATCTTCAGCTTGTTCATCCTCATCCAGATAGCCACAGTGGCCAGGCACTTGTCCAGCACCCGAGAGGCCTCCTTGGAATTGGGTGGAAATGAGTAGTAGAGCTGTGTGTCATCTGCATAGAGATGGCACCCAACTCCAACTTCTAGAACATGGCCATAAAGCCCGAAAAACCCACAACAATCCAGTATATTGTAATAGTTTGCAAAGAAATAGCTGTGTTTGGCTATTGCAGTTGAAAATAGAGGGATGTGGAGAGGAAAATAAAAGGAGATGGTAGCATCTTTAGGACTAATTCATTTTTATTTAAGCGTGAGCTTTCATGGATATAAACCCTCCTCGTTTGAAGGAGTGAGTTTATAGCTATGAAAGCTCATGCTAAAACAAAAATAGATTAATGTATTGTCAAAGGCTTTCATGGCCGGAATCACTGGGTTGTTGTAGGTTTTTCCGGGCTATATGGCCATGTTCTGGAGGCAATTTTTCTCCTGACGTTTCGCCTGCATCTATGGCAAGCATCCTCAGAGGTAGTGAGGTCTGTTGGAAGTAGGAAAACATTCACACCTAGCCCCAGCAGACAAAAGTCCTTTGTCCCACCCTGGTCATTCCACAGATATATAAACCCATTTTTCCTACTTCCAACAGACCTCACTACCTCTGAGGATGCTTGCCATAGATGCAGGCGAAACGGCAGGAGAAAAATTGCCTCCAGAACATGGCCATATAGCCCGGAAAAACCTACAACCCAAAAATAGGTTACTTTTAAATATTATCTACATTCTCTCAATTTTTCTTCCCTTGTCCTCTGTTTATATTAAGCTATTTAATGCTTTGTGACCAGTGTGACAATAGCTCTTTTCTATACCTTTTCTGAATGCCCTTTGAGAGTATATCCCTACCTGGCTTAGTACTTTAGATTGATGAATGCAGGGGAGGAAGAAACACTTGGATAGCTGTTCACAGTCTATGGTTAACCCCGAACTGCATCCGTAGCGAAGCTCTATGTCACTGCCAGACTTCACAGCTTCTTCCCACATTGCAACCTTATCTGTCTCGCACCTGCTGTGCCCTCATTCTCTCCTGAGCTGCGGAATAGCCTCCCAATGCCATCAATCCCCAGATGTCATCCAAATGGGTGGTATTGATTTAGGTATGAGTAGATGTGCAGTTCTCCATGGGAGGCTGGTAAGAAGCATGCAGCCCAATGGGAGGACACAGAATGCTTTAAAATATTCTGTACTATTACAGTCTGCCTTCTACATTTGCTGGTGTTAGGGGCACAGGATCCCCTGTGAAAGTGAAAAGCCATAAAGAAGGAAATTGCTATTTTTTTTTACTTGCTAGAACTTTCTAGGTCTTCCAGCATGACTGTAGTCGACTTCTACTAGAAGGTGAACATAAAATTGCATTAGAGGATCTTGAGTAGTGTTTCTCAACCTTCCTAATGCTGCGACCGCTTAATACAGTTCCTCATGTTGTGATGACCCCCAACCATAAAATAATTTCCGTTGCTACATCATAACTGTAATCTCGCTACTGTTATGCATCGTAATGTAAATATCTGATATGCAGGATGTAGTTTCATTCACTGGACCAAATTTGACACAAATACCCGATACGCCCAAATTTGAATACTGATGGGTTGGGAGAGGATTGATTTTCGTCATTTGGGAGTTGTTTGTTGCTGGAATGTATAATTCAGCTATGATCAGAGAGCATTCTGAACTCCACCAACAATGGAACTGAACCACACTTAGCACACAGAACCCTGCGACCAACAGAAAATACTGGAAGGGTATTGTGGGCATTGACCTTGAGTTGGGAGTTGTAGTTCACCAGAGAGTATTGTGGACTCAAACAATGAATGATCTGGACCAAACTTGGGACGAATACTTAAAATGCCCAAATCTGAACATTGGTGGAGTTAGGGGAAAATAGACCTTGGCATTTGTAGTTCACCTACAAACAAAGAGCATTCTGAACCCAACCAATGAGAGAATTGGGCCAAACTTCCCACACAGGACCCCCATTATTAACAGAAAATACTGTGTTTTCTGTTGGCCTTTTGCGACACCTCTGACACCCCCCTCGCAACCCCCCCCCCCAGTTTTCAAACTGCTAGGTTGGCAGAAGCTGGGGCTAACAATAGGACCTCATCCCGCTCACTGGATTTGAACTGCTGATCATTCGTCTAGCAAGTTAAGCAGCTCAGTGGTTTAACTTATGTGTGTGTGTGTGTGTGTATCTATAGAGAGAGAGAAAGAGAGAGAAAGAGAGAGAAGTAAGCCATCCTTCTTTGTGCCCAATGCCATGTTCCCTACTCAAACTACAGTTATTTCCATATTTTAGATTTAATAAGAAAATGTTTTTATTTTATTTATTTATATCATTTTACCCCGCTCATATCAGCCCAAAGGCGACTCAGGACAGCAAACAATTGGCACAATTTGTTGCCATATCACATGTTTTACTCAATACCCAAAATTTAAAATGAGAATCCTAGAAGTTAAGCAGTAATACAATGAGAAGACGAGTTCCATTATTCCATACACATCCAAGACACATCCTCAATTGGCACATCTAGCAAGAAACTACTTAGCATGTGTATGTCATATATGGTTAGAATGCATCAAAGTATACACCTGTGCATTTGCATATGACATTCAGCGAGAACAAAAATCCTGGTTGCAAAGACCCAAATGTTTTTAGATCCTTTAATGTGTTAAAAAATGAAACAATGAGAAACAATACAAATAGGTTGTGAACAGATCAGAAATTAGTATTTGATTACAACCCAGAAGACAAAAAAAAAGAATATACATAAAGCTTTGTACAGCAGTATTTTGCAAAGCAGTGAAAGATCAGCAGACTGGATTGTGTGTGTGTTTGTGTATGCATGGAGAGAAAGATGACAGATAGATAGATAGTAGGGCTGTGCAACCACGGAAAAATTTGTTTCTAAACTCGATTCGTTTTTAGGGTTTTTTTGCGTTTCGTTATTTAAAAGAATTCCGAAATTTTTCTTTTAAAAAAACGAAATTTTGGAAATTACGAAACAATTTCGAAACAATTTCGAAACAATAACGAATCGATTCATTAATGGCGGACGCGATTGCACAATACGCTAAAAAACCCTCCAAATGGGACAGGGGGAACTTCTGAAGCTTCCCTCTCCCTCTGTTGTTGACTGTTGGTGTGATAATTTATTTTTTTTATCACTGATAAAACAACAACAACTATAAAACTTGCACCAGACATACGGAAATAATAACGAAACAATTTCGAAACAATTACGAAATAAATTTTAAAAATTCGTTTCTATTTTTAGTTGCTCCTGAATGGTTCAATATCGGATCGTAAACCACTTTAAATACGAATTATTAACGAATTACGAAATTAATGAACGAAACCGCACAGCCCTAATAGATAGATAAATAGATAGATAGATAGATAGTCATACACACATTGTATTTCATGGAGAGAAAGATGATAGATAGATAGATAGATAGATAGATAGATAGATAGATAGATAGACAGACAGACAGATAGACAGAGATGATAGATAGATAGATAGATAGAGAGAGAGAGAGAGAGAGAGAGAGAGAGAGAGATAGATAGATAGATAGATAGATAGATAGATAGATAGATGATAGATAGAGATAGGAGATAGATAGATAGATGGATGGACGGACGGACGGACGGACAGATAGATAGATAGAGATGATAGATAGATAGATAGATAGATAGATAGATAGATAGATAGATAGATAGATAGATGATAGAGATAGATGATAGATAGATAGATAGTCATACACACACACACACACACACACACACACACTGCATTTCTCTGAACAATCTTATTCTTCGGGCAGGTTATTATATACATGGGGTACACCATAAAATATTAGTCTTTCTTTTCTGCATACTTTACTTACAAAGAGAAGAGCTGAATGCTACATGACCCATCCTCTTAGGTACAAAGCGAACAACACAAACAGTCCTGCTGGAAAGAAAAATGCCTCAAAGAACGGAAAGAGCAAAATTAATAAAAGTCATGCCACAGAATGTGGGCTTGATTCAGGGGGGATATAAATAAATGAGTATAATAAATCCTGTTCGGGCTGTTTTGAATGAGACAATTGCAATGTCCATCTACACGGTATGGGTTGAATGGATTTTAACCCATTCTTACAGTATCTAATCTATAATATTTTGAATGTGCTATTGGGAGAGAGAGAGGAAATCATTTATTGTAGCAGAGCGTCAGGCACTTTCCCCCCTTGAGACTGCATTTGTAATTCAGAGGGTTTGACCTAGTTGTGAACTTGCCAAATTGGAGGGAGGCCCAGCCGAATCAGGCTGGAAAGTGATGATTGGTGAGCGTTATCGTCTGCTTCTGAAAGCAAATCCAACCTTATATGATAATAAAATGAAGGCAAGGGGGAAAGGTTCTTAGGAGGCAATCCTACACCCGCTTACCTGCCAGCAAATTCCACTGAACGCAATGTCTGAGTAGACATATGTAGGGCCATGCTGTTCATGTTGGTTTGAAATGCCATGATCAGATGTCTATTAAAACAAAATTCCATCTTTATGGTTATATGTTAGCAATATACATCTACTCCTTGTTCTATGTTTGACATTAAAAGGATGCTAATCCACAAACCTTTGTGGCCTACCACAGGATACTTATTTGTTTTCTTACTGGTGCCGTTCTGGCATCGGGCTTCCACTGAGAATGATCCTGTCTCTCTTCCATACCTGCAATCTTTCTCTCTCTCTCTCTGTCCAAGAGATCTGGGCTTATGGACCAGCTGCAGGATCAAAACCAGCCCTGCCTTTTACCAGACGCACACGCAGGTACAACTGGGAGAACGCCACCCCCCTCCCCATATCTCTAAGTAATAATATCATTCACTAAATTTATAAACAGAGAGGGGCTGTCCTGTACGAATGGCTTTTTTAAAAACAAAAAAGTACAAAATTCAGGACATAACATCCTCCGCCAACTTTTTCATGTCTAAATGGAGAGGTTGTCCTTCAACAGGGGGAGGAGGACATCTGGTCATAATCAGGACACTTCAGCAGAGCAGGGTAGTTACTGTTCATCTGGAGGGAAGCATCGCTGGAGATGTCCGAAGGACTGCGCCCACGGACCCAGGCATCCGGGTGGAGGAACTGGCCCGAGTAGTCAGAGCAGTTGCTGAGCCGTGGGCGGTAGAAGCCAGGGTGAGGCCGGTACATCTCTTCAGCTGTGTATCGCTTCATGAACAGATAGACAGACATGACGCCTGCACTCTGAAGGAGAGACAGAGAGGGAAAACTCATGGCATTAGAAAGTACTGTAATTGACAGCATAAGCTTAAAATTTCATATGGGAAGAGACTTCTGGAAATGGAGGATGAGAATATAACAAAACAATGCTTTTTGGAGCAATATAAGCGAGGAGGTTGGACTCAACACTGGTCAGCTCTGCTCCACCAGTATTTTGATGGGTCAACAACAACCCTAATGCAGTTGAACAAGAAGGTAATTAGAGACAAAATCTTTAAGATGGACAGTAGTCCACGCTCTGGTTACATCCCGCTTAGACTACTGCAACGCTCTCTACGTGGGGTTGCCCTTGAAGACGGCCCGGAAGCTTCAATTGGTCCAACGTGCGGCAGCCATGTTACTAACAGGAGCGGGATGCAGGGAGCATACAACGCCCTTGTTGTACCAGCTCCACTGGCTGCCGATTTGCTACCGGGCTCAATTCAAGGTGCTGGCGTTGGCCTATAAAGCCCTAAACCACTGTTTCTCAACCTGGGGGTCGGGACCCCTGTGGGGGTCGCGAGGGGGTGTCAGAGGGGTCACCAAAGACCATCTGAAAACATAGTATTTTCTGTTGGCCATGGGGGTTCTGTGTGGAAAGTTTGGTCCAAGTCACTGGACAATTGGTGGGGTTCAGAATGCTATTTCATTGTGGGTGAACTATAAATCCCAACAACTACAACTCCCAAATGGCAAGGTCTATTTTCTCCAAACTCTACCAGTGTTCACATTTGGGCATATTGAGTATTTGTGCCAAGTTTGATCCAGATACATCATTGCTCGAGTCCACAGTGTTCTTTGGATGTAGGTGAACTACAACTCAAGTTCAATGTCCACCAGACCTTCCCAGTATTTTTTCTTGGTCATGGGAATTCTGTGTGCCAGGTTTGATTCAATTCCATCATTGGTGGAGTTCAGAAGGCTCTTTGATTGTAGGTGAACTATAAATCCCAGCAACTCCAACACTCCAAATGACAAAATCAATCACCCCTAAACCCCACCAGTATTCAAATTTGGGCGTATCAGGTATTTGTGCCAAATTTGGTCCAGTGACTGAAAATACATCCTGCATATCAGATATTTACATTACGATTCATAACAGGAGCAAAATGACAGTAATGAAGTAGCAACCAAAATGTTATGGTTGGGGGTCACCACAACATGAGGACCTGTACTAAGGGGTAGTGGCATTAGGAAGGTTGAGAACCACTGCCCTAAACGGTTCCGGCCCAAGATACCTTTCCGACCGCATCTCGACCTACGAGCCCACCAGGACTTTGAGATCATCCGGGGAGGCCCTGCTCTCGATCCCGCCTGCCTCACAGGCACGCCTGGCGGGGACGAGAGATAGGGCCTTCTCGGTGGTGGTTCCTCGGCTGTGGAACACCCTTCCCATGGACATCAGACAGGCCCCTTCCCTGTTGATATTCCGCAGGAAATTAAAGACCTGGCTGTTCAAGAAAGCGTTCGAACAAGAAGTGCAATAATTGGTAATGATGACAGGAATGGAACAACGGAAAATGATACTGGATTGTGGTTTAGACGATGAGACGACGTGGAATGGCTTTTGTATTATTGATGATGTTTTTGAAAATGATGTTTTTGGTTAATGCTAGATTGATTATTTTAGATTGTGTCTTGAACTTGAACCTGTTTCTATGTTGTACACCGCTGTGAGTCGCCCCCGGGCTGAGAACAGCGGTATATAAGCAAAGTAAATAATATAAGCAAAGTAATTGACATCTTGCGGAATGGTAAACAACAGGGTTTCTCCACTTGGTATCCCCTACTAAAGAGTGACCAATATTGCCAACAATATCTTCAAGGTTCTTGTGGGTTTTTTCGGGCTATAGAGCCATGTTCTAGAGGCATTTCTCCTGACGTTTTGCCTGCATCTATGGCAAGCATCCTCAGAGGTAGTGAGGTCTGTTGGAATTAGGACAATGGGTTTATATATCTGTGGAATGGCTGGGGTGGGGCAAAGAGCTCTTCTCTGCTGGAGCTAGGTGTGAATGTTTCAACTGACCACCTTCAGACTACACAGAGAAGCCATTGAAATCCACAAGCATGTGGACAATTTCAACAGAAAGGAAGAGACCATGAAAATGAACAAAATCTGGCTACCAGTATTAAAAAACTCTAAAATTACAACAGCAAAACAGCAGAGAGGAAACAACCAGGCACATCTTAACACCTCGCAACAAAAGATTTTCCCAGGCTCAGCCAGGCCTTCAAATGCTAATGAAGGTGGTCAGTTGAAACATTCACACCTAGCTCCAGCAGAGAAGAGCTCTTTGCCCCACCCCAGCCATTCCACAGATATATAAACCCATTGTCCTATTCCAACAGACCTCACTACCTCTGAGGATGCTTGCCATAGATGCAGGCGAAACGTCAGGAGAAAATGCCTCTAGAACATGGGTATATAGCCCGAAAAAAACCTACAATAACCCAGTGATTCCGGCCATGAAAGCCTTCGACAATACATATTTAAAATGTGTGCAACCAGCATTAAATGTTTGGAAAGCTCTGGTCTAGGTTAGATGTTTTTGCTTACTCATACCGCATGCCCAACATCTTTGTATATGTGGGTCTGGGGAAAGAGAGGATTTAACATATTATCTGTTACATTGCCCACTGTATAATGACCCTCGAAACAATCTTTTGGGAGCCCTTTTGGAAGAAAGGGCAGCATGGCGACAATCAGCAGTTATCTGTCACTTGTTGGCTGATTATTCCAAAGATATAACATTGAAGGTTGCCACATTTGCAGTCGCAGCCCAAAAAATCCGAGCCAAACTAGTAAAGTCCACAGCAGAAGCTAGAAATGGAAATTAAGATATTTTGGGGATGATACAAACCAGACATTTGTAATTGTTATTATGTCACTACTATAATTTTAAAGAGCTAGTATACAGAACTTGTTTTAATACTTGTATTGGAAAGTGCTTATTGTACTTTTAAAGGTTGTATATTTTATGTCATGGCCTATGGCTAGTACAATAAACAATTCATTCATTCACTGGTGACAGGGAAAACAGGTCAGCGGTCCATGATACATCTCTCCTCAACCTCATTTCCATTTCCAACATAGTGCCACACTTTCCTTTGCATGAGAGCGTAATCACATATGTGCTGGGTATGTGCCTGGGGGTGAGGGAGAATTGTTTTGGTGAAGAGGCTGCTGAGAGTATTTTGCAGATATCTACTCATCAGAAAAAACATTCTAGCATGAGATTGTTGTGACTAAACCCCTTGACTGGTGTTTTACAACAACACCAACGTTTTATTATGGTCCAAAGACCCTTATTGCAGTGTAAACATGCAAGCTATGTAGGTAATGAGATTACAATTTGACTGGTGTTTTACACACATACACATTTCCACGCAGAAGCAGTTGGAGACTTCTGTCGCATGTAAGACATCTGCAGAAACAGAGCAGCATATGCAGTGCCCTTGTGCATACAGATGCACATTTTCTATGAATATGCAGGCATGTTGCATCCACATCATGCATTGCCCATCTATGCATAGGTGCATACTGCACTTGAATATGAATTTGCCATCTTGCTTCAGTTGCACAATGCTGCCATTGATGTAGCATAAGGGTTGCATAGCACAGGTACCATGTTAATTTGGCATGCAGAGATTTATGCTATGTAAAACCTATGTTGGATCTTAGCCCTTGATCCCACAAGGTATGCCAAGGCATTCCATGGCAGGCTCCGGCCCAGCTTACTTGTCCGAATGTATCTCCCTCTACATTCCACCTTGTAGTTTAAGATCCACCGGGGAGGCCCTGATCTCGGTCTCACCGGGCTCGCAAATGCGTCGGGTGAGGACAAGGGACACGGCCTTCTCGGTGGTGACCCCCCACTTGTGGAATTCACTCCCCAGTGAGATTAGATCGGTGTCCTCCCTCCTTTCCTTTAGGAAAAAATTGAAATCGTGGTTTTGGAACCAGGCTTTTGGATAGCAGGCACAGTGGCACTTTGGACACTGAATTGGACCATAATTGTTATGATAATGGAAACAGCTATATGACTGTATAATTAATGTTATTGTTTTTAATCTATTGCATATTTATGGTTCTATATTGTTGTTATATTGATATTGCCGCTTTGAATTGTTGCCAATGTTAGCCGGTCTGAGTCCCCCCTCTCAGGGGTTAAGAAGGGCGGGGTAGAAATGTTGTAAATAATAATAAAATAAATCTGACTGAACTAAACAACCATAAATAATCTCATTTTATGGGCTTTACTTTATTTCCTTCTGACTGTTGGTTATAGTTAGCTGTACAGAAGAAGAGTATTGGAATGGGAAGGCATAATTCTTACCCTACCTCAGTGGATCTCAACCCACCTAATCCCGTGACCCCTTGTGGTGACCCCCAACCATAACATTGTTTTTGTTGCTACTTCATAACAGTCATTTTACTACTGTTATAAATCATAATGTAAATATCTGATATACAGGATGTATTTTCATTCACTGGACCAAACCGGGCACAAATACCCAAGACGCCCAAATGTGAATGATAGTGGGGTTGGGGGAGGATTGATTTTGTCATTTGGGAGTTGTAGTTGCTGGGATTTATTGTTCACCTATAATCAAAGAGCATTCTGAACTCTGCCAGCGATGGATTTGAACCAAACTTGGCACACAGAACTCCCATGACCAACGGAAAACACTCAAAAAATTATTTTGTCATTTGGGAGTTGTGGGATTTATAATTCACCTACAATCAAAGGGCACTCTGAACTCCACCAACGATGGAATACAACCAAACTTGGCACACAGAACTCCCATGACCAACATAAAATGTTGAAAGGGTTTGGTGGGCATTGACCTTGAGTCTGGGAATTGAAGTTCACCTACATCCAGAGAGCACTGTGGACCTATGCAATGGTGGATCCGGACCAAACTTGGCATGGATATTCAATATGCCCAAATGTGAACACTGGTGGAGTCTGGGGAAAATAGATCTTGACATTTGGGAGTTGTAGTTCATTACAAACAAAGAACATTCTGAACTCCACCAACGATAGAATTGGCTCAAACTTCCCACATGGAATCCCCATGACCATCAGAAAATACTGTATTTTCTGATGGTCTTTGGTGACCCCTCTGACACCCCCTCGCGACCCCCCCAGGGGTCCTGACCCCCAGGTTGAGAAACACTGCTCTACTTCTACCATATCTAAGCATTCAAACTGTGTCCAGCAGTTGTCAGAAACCACCAATAATGGTGGAAGGGAAGAAATCACTGGGGTCTTCATGTAGGATTATTTAAATTACTTCTTGAATTGTACTAGAGGGCTGAGATGAAAGTTCTTTTTGCTTAAGTAAGGATAACTAAGGGGAGCTTAGTTGTGACATAAAGGTAGTGAGCATACAGACCACAAGTCTACTGTAAAAGTCAGTACACCCCTAGCTTGTCAGTAGATCCGGAAACGGTGAAGTGCATCAAGTCTGAACAACAAGGAAGCCAAGTGAGGTGTTCTTAAAATGTACTTTTATGGAACGCAAGCTTGCCTGCAGTCCATAAAATCTTGTCCTGCACGTACCATGTTAAGCTCTTGGCAAAAAGCCGCCACTCCTGGACCTGTGTGCATAAATAAGCAGATACTCTCTGCTGAATGACATGGTCAAAATGCCTCCTCAATGTATTACCTGCAATTTCTCAGATCTGGCAATGCCGTGCCTCTTGCCAGGGATACAAAGGTTCTGCCACCAAGCATACCTTTGTGATTTAAATGCAATTTCGGAAAGCAGTTCATTGGAAATGGAATTGAAAAGTAATCCATCACGATCAAACCAGTTCATATTTTGGCTTGACATTCTTATGGATCTGCTAAGGTTTTGCAATTTTGCAATGCGTGGAGGTGCAGCAAAGAGCCAGGGGCTGCTTAGCTTTAGGAATGCTCATTGCTCCATTAGTCTACTCATGTATACAGTTTAAGGCATTCTTGAGAGTTTTGATGCATTGGACTCAAAGTAAGTAATAGTGTGGCTGAAGTGAGGTACGGTAAATAGGTGAACCTTCCCCTTCAAGCAAAGGAACAGCCTGGTCTAATCCATCTCTGTGTTTATAACAACATCACCACCATTCCCTATATATCTAATATATTGCTGGAGAAGAAGAGGGTTGAGGGGCTGGAGGGGGACACACCATACTAAATTCAAGTTATTACATCTAATTCTTTATTGCTACTACCCTTACACACATTACTTTAAAATATTACAGATTCTTATAGAATCCTGCAAAAGAAATCTCATTAACTTCAGAGGAAGCTTCTGAAAGTAAACAGGAAAGAACCAGAGTTTGGGACTTGGCCATGTTGGCTGGAGGACAATGGGAAATGTAGTTCAACCTTCCTTCCAAACCATTCCAAGATCTGTTTCTTCTCAGTAGACAGGGAAATTGTAATATAAAGGTATTTAGTCACTTGCTGGCCCAGGAAAGACAATATAGAAGGAGACTTAAGGAGCATCTACTTTAAAGAATGAATGGAGTCTGACACTACTTTAACTGCCATAACTTGATGCTATTTATTTATTTATTGACAGTATTTATATTCCGCCCTTCTCACCTCGCAGGGGACTCAGGGTGGATTACAATGTACATATACATGGCAAACATTGACTGCCATAGGCACACAACATATATAGACAGACACACAGAGGCAATTTAACATTCCAGCTTTTTCATGAGGGTATTCTGGCCACCAGGGGAGCTGTCTCTTCACTGTCCATTTGTAACAATGATGGAGTACTTCCTCATTCTTTGCATGCTTGTTGGGGATTTTTATGGCAGCGTGAATTAGTTAAATTAGCCTTCCTGCATAAGCGGTACCTAATTTTCCTACTTGACAGGTGCAACTGTCGTTCGGGCTGCAAAGGTCGACAGCGAGCTACACAATGGCCGGAAGCTCACTCTGACCCGGGCTGGCTTCAAACTCATGACCTTTCAGTCAGTAGTGATCTGATAACGAAGTATTTTGGCCACATCATGAGAAGACAGGAAAGCTTGGAGAAGAGAAGGGTGCTGGGGAAAATGGAAGGAAAAAGGAAGAGGGGCCAACCAAGACTACAAGGTGGATGGATGTCATCCTTGAAGGGAGTGGCTTGACCTTGAAGGAACTGGGGGTGGCCATAGATGGTCAACAAGAAGTCAACAGGAGTTGGAAGCAACTGAACAAATAAACAACAAAATTTGCAAAAAGATTAGGAGGAAAATCACAGGAGTTGTGGTTTTACAATGTTTTTAGCCTTCTCTGTGAAAGGGTGCTGTACCAAACTACAAATCCCAGGATTCCACAGCATTGAGCCGTGGCAATGAAATGATGTCAAACTTAATTAATTCCAGAGTGTAGCTGCACCCTAATAAATATAATCTCTTTGGGTTGTATATCGCTTCTTTTTCACCTGCAGGAGTATTTGAACCCACACGATCTCTCCGATCATCTGGAGAGGCCCTGCTCACGATCCCACCTGCGTCGCAAGCACAATTGGTGGGGACGAGGGACAGGGCCTTCTCCGTGGTGGCCCCCCGACTCTGGAACTCTCTCCCCAAGGATATCAGACAAGCCCCAACATTGGCAGTCTTTAGGAAGAGCTTGAAGACGTGGTTGTTCCAGTGTGCCTTCCCAGAATAGGAAACTCCTAGCATCATGTTCCATTTGCACTTTACTAGAGATTAAGATTGTCTGTACACCACACCTATCTCCAAAAACCTATCCATCTCACCTGTCATGTTCAGCATTTTAAAATTTTAATCATTACATTTGGCCCAGGCTTAGTTTTAAATGTGTCATGGTATTATTGTCTAATGTTTATTGCTATTGTTTTAATGTTTATTGCTTGTTTTATGAGTTTATTTATTGTTGTATTTGTTATTATTATTATTATTATTATTACTTTATTTGTACCCCGCTAGCATCTCCCGAAGGACTCGATGCGGCTTACAAAACACAATACAACAATACAATACCTAGAGCAAATTAAAAACAGTTAAGCAGAATAAACAACAGCAATAATAATACATCGAGACGTCAAGACACTATAAAACTGGGCCAGGCAAGAGTAATGGGTACAAGATTAAAAGTGCTGATGTGGCAGGAGGTATGTAGGATTATAAAGTAAGTGCAGTGTGTGGTGTGCAGTGATCTTAGTTCTACTAAAGTGCTTCTAGGACTTGGTATTGGGGGTTCCTAATCTGAAAAGGCACATCGGAACAGCCAGGTCTTCAAATTCTTTCTGAAGACTGCCAGCGAAGGGGCCTGTCTAAGATCTTTTGGGAGGGTGTTCCAGAGTCGGGGGGCCACCACAGAAAAGGCCCTGTCTCGAGTCCCCACCAAGCGCGCTTGCGACGTGGGCGGGATCACGAGCAGGGCCTCTCCAGATGACTGGAATGAATGTGTGGGTTCGTAGACGGAGATGTGGTCACGCAGGTAGGGTGGTCCCAAACTGTTCAGGGCTTTGCTGTTATTTTACTAATGTGTTGGGCCTCGGCCTCTTGAAAGCCGCACCGAGTCCTTCGGGAGATGTTAGCGAGGTATAAATAAAGGATTATTATTATTATTATTTCTCGAGCAGAACAATCTGCCAGAATTGCGGAGGGGGGTTAAAATATAACCCCCTCCTGATGCTGCTACTACCCGCTTTCCTGTTCTGAAAAGTCTTCAATGCTCTAAAAGAACACTTTCATTTGGAGAATGATCTTATTTTTGTACATCCTTGCTTTTGTTACCTATCTGAGTTGTTATGTAGCCAAAGGCATCCTTAGAGGGTGGAGGGCTCCCCTCATAATATCGTTAACCCAAGTCTAAAATTATCTAATTGTCCTCGAGTGGGTGCTAAATAGGACCAAGCTGCTGATGCTACTCCTCTCGTTGCTCCTTCCCAGCATTCACATATGGGGGAGACATTTATAGCCTTCTCCTCCCATTATCTTGAGGCAGCCCAGTGAGCTCATAAGCAATCTTACCTCAGTCAGGAGGAAAGAAATCGCAGAGAAAGCAAAGGACCATCCATATCTGTATGTGAAGTAAGTCTCGGAGTCCTTGGTTCTGTTAAGCATCTCATCATTGATGCTGGAGATGTACAAGACCAGGCCCACAACCAGAGATAAGCCTGGAAAGGAAAGGACCCTGGGGTCAAAGACGGGAAAATTCTCTCTTGCAGAAAACCAAGACATCAGAGAACCTGAGACTCTCCACATGTTGCATCACCATTTATTGTTGGGGGCTTATGGGAACTAAATTCCAACAATGCTTGAAAGGTTGTAGGTTCCCTCTCCATGTTCTTAAAGGATACATGAAACCAGAAGAATGGGGTGAGGTACGCAAGAGCCATTAGGCTGTAGTTGTTTCAGTAGTCACTCATGGAGAAATGAGCTCCCTGCGCTGAATTAAGCAAAAGATTTATATTCTCCGATGCAAATCTTTTGAACTCCAAGTGCTCAGTGTAAGTAGAAGCTTTTAAGCTCCGCAGTCATATTTGGTTGTTTAATATTCCCTTAATGCTATGAATAAAACATGGTTTTCTCCTCTCATAGGGAAACATGCTCACGTCTCAGATCTCCACCGATTCAAGCCCATCGCTGGTACACACAAAAACCACGGTCTAAAGCTCCATGGAGCTGAAGTGGTCCTGCTTTAATGTCAAACCAAGTTATCCTATTGGTTATACGTTAGTTAGTTATTTATTTCATATCAAAAGCATTGCATAAATTAGTATAAAACTGATAAAAATAGAAGGAGCACAGGCGGCTAAATATCTGTTGACCAAAAATGGGCAATAGCAATGGCATTGTCTGTAGCCTCCAACAATTCTTCCTCTGGGCATAGTGGACAAGCACATAGAAGCGAGGTTGTCTGTTCTGCTCCACAGTCATACAAAGTGTGGGATGCTTTTAGGTAGTGCCATTTAGCCAGGTTGTCTTTTGGTTGGTCCACTCCACTTCTGAATCTGTTCAGGGACTTCCAAGATGCCCATTCTTGGTTTGCCCCTGAAGGAAGACCCTCATGGGATGCCATCCAGTTGGGATTTCCTATTTTAGCTGCCCAGAGGGATACCCTTGCTATTGCTGGGGGGACCCTGAAAGGAGTGGTAGCTGTCATACAGCTTTTCCTTGATTTGAGTCTACTGGGAGGAGGCTCGTAGCCATGTAGTGGGTGGCTTTCACAGTGTACATCCTTATTTCTCTCACATTTAGCAGCAACTTCCCATCACACAATTTTGGGGGGGGGGCAATGGCAGCTAGCTTGTAGAGTTTATCAACAGGTGTAGGTTTAAGACATCCTGTGATTATTCTGCATGTTTCATTCAATGCTATGTTCACCTGCTTTGCATGGGCAGACCTATGCCAAAAAGGGCAGGCATACTAGGCAGTTGAGTAAGACGCTAGTATCTGCATTTAATTTGGAGTTACCTCCCCCTAGAGGTTCTTTAGAATTCAACTCGGAGCAACACTGGGGCAACACTGAAAGTCCTACCAAAGAAAAGATTTGTTGCCCAAGATTGAAATTTGAAAAGTCAAGATAAAACTAAACATGGTGCTAAAAGTCTAGATCAGTGTTTCTTAACCTTCCTAATGCCGCGACCCCTTAATATAGTTCCTCATGTTGTGGTGACCCCCAACCATAAAATTATGTTCGTTGCTACTTCATAACTCTAATTTAACTATTGTTACGAATCGTAATGTAAATATCTGATATGCAGGATGTATTTTCATTCACTGGATCAAATTTGGCACAAATACCCGATACGTCCAAATTTGTATATGTGTGTTGGGGGAGAGGGGGATTGATTTTGTCATTTGGGAGCTGTAGTTGCTGGGATATATAGTTCACCTACAATCAAAGAGCATTCTGAACACCACCAATGATGGAATTGAACCAAACTTGGCACACAGAGCTCCCATGACCAACAGAAAATACTGGAAGGGTTTGGTGGGCATTGACCTTGAGTTCTGAAGTTGTAGTTCAGCTACATCCAGAGATCTGGACCAAACTCAATATGCTCAAATATGAACACTGGTGGAGTTTGGGGAAAATAGGCTATCAGTGAGCATTCTGAACCCCACCAACGATAGAATTGGTCCAAACTTCCCACACAGAACCCCCACAACCAACAGAAAACACTTTTTCCCGGTGGTCTTTGGTGACCCCTCTGACACCCCCTTGCGACCCACCCAGGGGTCCCGACCCCCAGGTTAAGAAACACTGGTCTAGATAAAACGTAGCATGTAGAGCAGGTGTCCCATAATGGGGGTAGGGAGCACTAAAGATGCACTTTCTCAATTGAATCTGGGCTAAATGCTGTAATGGCACCATATTTGACTTCAAATTCAGTATAGGGAGTTGGGAAATGTGTGTATATATGTCTTAAAACTTACCAGACAAAATGAAAAAGATTCCAGACACAAAGGCCAGGATAGTTCTGTGGGGCCGGATGTGTCCAATGTTGCTCAAGATGAATCCAATAAACATGAAAAAGAGGCTGACCAGTGGGAATGGAGTGGCAGAACGAATCATCTCTGTTGAAGGCAACGAGGAGAAAAAAAATGAGTGCTTCCAAGTCAGAAAAGAACAAACAACACTATCAGTAGCAAAAGCATTTTCTGCATATGTAATGCATTGATCTTTGGCCCAATTTACCCCATTATGCAATTTGAACTACATTACAATAGTCAGTGTAGACTCCAGATTGAACTGGATTATATGAGTCTACACCGCCATATAATCCAGTTCAATGCAGTAAAGATGTATTCTGAAACTGGATTATATCCCAGTATAGATGGGGCTTTGGAGGCTTTCCCCCTTTAACATATCACACTCTACTTCTCACACAAAAATATGAAAATACAGAGAAAGACTGCTTTTGCCCTATTTTCCATGGCTTTTAACCATCAATTATGTTACTCAATTTCTGCTAACACAAAAGGAGATGTTCATTTTCGGCTTTAGGGTTCATCAAGATGACAAAGATTACAGTCCTATGATTGCTAAAGAGCACAGACAGGACCGCAGGCAAGGCTGGACCAAGAAATAAAGGAAACAAGGCAGCTGTGCTCTTCAATATCCTACTGCTAATCCCACTCCACGGCTACTGAGCTGAATTCCTCCATCCAACTAACATCAGAGTCACTTCTGGCTGTATCAACTCTTCCTATTGACTCCAAGTCTTCTGACTTGGAGACCAGGATCTACACTTTGAAGCCTCTTCTGTTTGAAACAGCAACCTTCTCAAGCCTCCACTAGTTATTTGTTATGTATATAATTGCTAACTGTATTATATGTTCACATTGGTTTGCAATTTTACCTAACCTCTTTGTCGCGGAAGGGGCTGCAGACCATGTGATCAGAACTAGACGTATTCAGGACTCTGACTACATTTTAGATCAGTGTTTACTTTAGACTTCAGTGGAGATAGAAGCCATTAGACTCTTAGGAGAGAGTAGAAGCTATTTGTATGCTTTAGACTTCAATGCAGGAACAGTATGCTTAGAGACTTATTAGACTCTGAAAACAGAGAGATGCTTTGGACTATGGACTATTGTTTCTAAGGAAGATGCCCTGTGTCACCTACACAGAGAAGCTACTGGTCGGGGTTGGCTTGACGCGCCTTCCTCTTGGCACATTTCTCTCTTTCACCTTCGTGCCTCTTCAAATTGTACAGCACTGCTGATCACAGCTGACCTCCAGCTAGAGCGCTCAAGGGTCAAAGCTTCCCAGTTCTTGCCACAGTTTTAAAGGTTGGATTTGAGTCCATCTTTAAATCTCTTTTTACATAGTATTGTACCATGATTCCATAGCATTGATTCATGGTAGTTAAAGGGGTGTCAAACTGCATTAATTCTACAGTGTCAATGCATTCTATAATTCCTGGGCTGCCATACAAGGGATTAGAGGACTGTAGCATATGAAGGTGCAATGAAATGTTAATGCATGCAAAATATATATTTATCCCTCTGTTCTCTCATGTAAGCATTAAATATAAAACTAGCATTTCCAAAAACAGAGACATGGATTGCTATAGCAACAGAAGAAGCTTTCTCGGAGATAGAAAGTAGGAAGTACAGTAGCTAGCCTTTGTCGATGCTCCTGAAATTCTTTCAAATATTTGTGTCAAATTCAGGATTTTAGAGCCAGGTGAAGGAATAGTTGTGTGTGTGTTTTTTTAACTGTTTGAGCAGATTGTCTTTGACTGCAACATGTCAAATATTTAGACAATTCCAAAAGATTTTAGATCTATCAATGCTGTAAAATTGACAATGGAGGTGTGAAGTGTTTTGTTACACAAAACATTTTTTTGGGAAAATGTTATATAAGATCAAATATTTTTGTAGCCTAAAGAACAGATGGCTGTGTATGTTTTCCATTCTATGAGTAACAGGAGCTGGTGTGGGAGAGACTCTGAATTAGAATTGCACAAAGCTTGGCTAATTTTTTGAAACCCACAGCTCCAGAATATTCTATGCTAGCTAGGGGACACTGGAAATTATAGTTCAAGCAAGTGAATTTTCAGGACTGAAAGGCTTGAACCTGCTTCTTCTGCACCACAATCCAAATACCCTAGCCTTTCCTGTGGCTTAATTCTAAGCATAGGCCCCATCCACACTGCTATATAAAACTCAGATTGTCTGCTTTGAACTGGATTATATGTCTACACCAGGGTTTCTCGAACTATGGCCTGGGGGCTGGATACGGCCCTCCAAGGTCATTTACCCGGCCCTTGCTCAGGATCAATCTAAGTCTGAAACAACTTGAAAGCACACACACACACACACAAAAAACAAGCACACAAAAAACAACAACAATCCTATCTCATCAGCCAAAAGCAGGCCCACACTTCCCATTGAAATACTAATAAGTTTATATTTGTTAAAAATGTTCTTCATTTTAATTATTGTGTTGTTTTTAAGTGTTTTTTGCACTACAAATAAGATATGTGCAGTGTGCATAGGAATTCAATCATATGTTTTTTTTTTCAAATTATGATCCAGCCCTCCAACAGTTTGAGGGACTGTGACCTGGCCGTCTGTTTAAAAATTTGAGGACCCCTGGTCTACACTGCCATACAATCCAGTTCAAAGCAGATAATCTGGATTTTATATGAAAGTGTAGAAGGGGCCATAAAATGCTCATTCTGCTTCTTAAATGAATATAGAAAAGTAGCTGTCCCCTGCCACGCGTTGCTGTGGCCTACATGGGGGTTCTGTGTGGGAGGTTTGGCCCCATTCTATCGTTGGTGGGGTTCAGAATACTCTGTGATTGTAGGTGAACTATAAATCCCAGCAACCACAACTCCCAAATGTCAAGATTCTATTTTCCCCAAACTCCACCAGTGTTCACATTTGGGCATATTGAGTATTTGTGTAGAGTTTGGTCCAGATCCATCATTGTTTAAGTCCGCAGTGATCTTTGGATGTTGGAGAACTACAACTCCAAAACCAAAGGACAATGCCCACCAAACCCTTCCAGTATTTTCTGTTGGTCATGGGAGAACTGTGTGCCAAGTTTGGTTCAATTCCATCGTTGGTGGGGTTCAGAATGTTCTTTGATTGTAGGTGAATTATAAATCCCAGCAGCTACAACTCCCAAATGACAAAATCAATTTTTTTGAGTGAAGGACATACATTGGGTTGTTAGGTGTCTTGTGCCCAAATTTGGTGTCAATTAGTCCAGTGGTTTTGAGTTCTGTTAATCCCACAAACAAACATTACATTTTTATTTATATAGATTTCCTCTCCTTGGATGGGCAGATCCTGATATGCTAATCCAGTAGTTCTCAATCTGTGGGTCCTCAGATGTTTTGGCTTTCAACTCCCAGAAATCCTAACAGTTGATAAACTGGCTGGGATTTTTTGGGAGATGTAGGCCAAAACACCTGGGGACCCACAGGTTGAGAACCACTGTGCTAATCCATGCTTCAGTAGCTTCCAGGATCTTTCATTACAATACACACCACATAGGCTGCACTGGAGTATGCTCTGGAAGATTTCGCTGGCAGGGAATGCCTTCTTCACAGGTACCAGGAGACATGTACATATTCTATTTTTCTGTACCAGTTATGCTGATCACTAATTCTTGGGAACATGCTTTGACCTCTGCATATCCTTGCAAAACCTCATCTGTAGGAAGTGGTTATTAGAATTCAAGACTACTGTGCTACTGCAGCAGAAAGGTCTCAGCAGTCTCATTTCAGTGACACCAGCTTGTGCTTTATACAGCGGATATCTGCCAAGTTAGGATTGTGGGGATCATTCTGTTATTTCCTCATCCATTAATAAGTTCCACCACTATACATTTTGTGAATATGGTTGAAATGGACTGTGATGGGGCATCTGCCATCCTTGCTAAGGGTGTGTAAATCTCAGATTTGGCAGGAATCCAGACCACATCTGCTCCACTGGGATGACTTGCATATGACCTCCTCCACGCTGCTGCCACTGCACCTAGCCAGCCATGGAGCTCAATTCAAGCCCCTAACTATTGTGGGCTCCTCTGCTGATGTTAGAAGGGGTGTCCATGTGCCCAGCATTAAAGGTGGAGGACTGTCCCTTCCTTCTTGTTGGTTGTACAGGAGCCCACTCTAGTGACAGCACAGGCACTTGTGGCAGCTAGAAGCTTGGACACAAGATGCAGGTTGGGAATAATAGAATCAAAGAGTTGGAAGAGACCTCATGGGCCATCCAGTCCAACCCCTTGCCAAGAAGCAGGAATATTGCATTCAAATCACCCCTGACAGATGGCCATCCAGCCCCTGTTTAAAAGCTTCCAAAAAAGGAGCCTCTACTACACTCCAGGGCAGAGAGTTCCACTGCTGAATGGCTCTCACAGTCAGGAAGTTCTTCCTCATGTTCAGATGGAATCTCCTTTCTTGTAGCTTGAAGACATTGTTCTGCATCCTAGTCTCCAGGGAAGCAGGAGACAAGCTTGCTCCCTCCTCCCTGTGGCTTCCTCTCACATATTTATACATGGCTATCATATCTCCTCTCAGCCTTCTCTTCTTCAGGCTAAACATGCCCAGCTCCTTAAGCCACTTCTCATAGGGCTTGTTCTCCAGACCCTTGATCATTTTAGACACAATATTCCAGGTGTGGTCTAACCAAAGCGGAATAAAGGGGTAGCATTACTTCTCTAGATCTAGACACTATGCTCCTATTGATGCGGGCCAAAATCCCATTGGCTTTTTTTGCCGCCACATCACATTGTTGGCTCATGTTTAACTTGCTGTCCATAAGGACTCCAAGATCTTTTTCACAGGTACTGCTCTCGGGCCAGACGTCCCCCTGGTGACACTGACCATATGGAGTGATGACACTGACCATATGTGCATGATCCACCCACTTCCCCTGTACTGATAAGCACAGAAAATGATGTGATGGCACCAGTGCACATCTAGACAGTTGATTGGTCAGAATCAGACCAGATCCTGCTGTCCAGACTGCCCCAAAGCCCCAGGATATTCTGAAGTTTCCAGCAAAGTCTGGAGTATCCAACAATTTTGCTAAAAGTAGGGCTATGGCCCCTTCTACACTTCCATATGGCAGTATAGACTCAGAAAATCCAGTTCAAAGCAGATAATCTGGATTATATAATAATAATAATAATAACAATTATTATTATTATTATTATTATTATTATTATTATCTTTATTTAATACCCTGCCACCATCTCCCCAATGGGGACCCGGGACGGCTTACATGAGGCCAAGCCCAACAGCATATTATAATAAAGTAAAACCAAAACACAATAACAACACAGTAAAATACATACAACATATGAGTACAAAGATGATAAAGCAAAATCATACACAGTAAAATAAAATAACATAACATAACAATGAGCGCGCCGCATGTGCAAGATAAACACTAAGATACTAAAAATACTAAAATCAGGATGAGATAGGGATGGAGCAGATTATTTGTGGGGCAGAAACTCATAAAGGAACGGGGTCATAAATATAGACCTTCATACAGGTGGGGAATATACTCTGGGGACAAAAAACTGTTGAGGGGGAGCAACTGTGTATGATAATATGGCTACTCTCCAAAAGCACATCGGAAAAAACAGGTTTTGAGTGTAGAGTGACGAAAGTATGGAGTGTAGAAGGGGCCAAAGTCAGCTGAAATTGAAAAACACCACAAACATGCACTGGAAGCCACTGTGTGTCATGAAGTCAGCCAGCAATCCATTTGGGATGAGTCTGGCATTTGGGGCTCAAATAGACAAGGTTGTTGTTGTTGTTGTTGTTGTTCATTCGTTCAGTGGTTCCCGACTCTTCGTGACCTCATGGACCAGTTACCTTTGCCTTAAAGTTGAATCAAGCTGTCAGCTTTGCTTCTCAGATTGTGGTGGACTGAAGCAATGCCACATTAGTAATTGGTAATCAGCAACTCTGTAGTATTGGGAGAAGACTACTAGAAGGACCTTCCATCTCTTTCCCTGATCCCATTCCACCCCATACTGTGCTCATGCAATCTTGTGTTGTCTTTGATAAAAGCATCCAAAGTATGGATGAAGTCTTTTTTTTATTTCTTTCCTAGTCTTAGAAAAGCAAAAATTAGAAGATACACATGAAGCTTGAAACACACCACTACCACCACCTCCCCGTAACCCACACAACAGAAACCACCTACTTAAAACATTGACTGTTGATTCAGATGTGAGCTGGACATTCATTGGCATGACATACTCAATGGTGAAACATCTCCCACGTTCTTCACCTGCATGGAGAAAAGCCAGGTTTATTGTTTATTAGAAAAAGTGATAGCTTTAATGAAATAGACATGTTTCTTTCACCTCACAGACTTACTCAGTTTTGATATTTGTAAATCGAAAATGTTTGAGAATGCAAAAGAAACAAACAAAATGCAAGTAACAAATGAGACAGGAACCCAAGCAGGACTGGCACTCTAGAAGTAGATAGGGGTAGTGTTAGCTTTTGGGGCCCTTTATCATCCTTAAGGTGTGGATCAGGAATACAAGAGGAAGCAACAGAAGTGAAGAAACCTTCCAGATTGGACTTCCCTGCACCTACTGTTTATTTTTTAAATCTTGAAAATGATTTCTTGCACAAACTGGGCTTCATCTACCTTTGTACTTAAACACAGTAGGTGGTGTGCAGGTCCCTGGGATGAATGGAGGGCCACCACTGCAAGCGCTGCTATCTTAGCTCCTTCCCACTGCCCTTGAAAGGGGATGGGATGGGGAAACATGAAGAGGGACTACCACCACTACCATCCTGCCCAGCTCTCCCTTCTGCCTAGCCCCCCATCTCTCTCCCTCCTATAGATTAAGCCAGGCAGCGGGCTGTTGTGCCTCAAAAACTCTTATCAGCCCTAGTAGGCACAGTCACGACAGCAGGCAAAGACCAAAATAGTATCTGGAGGGTTAGAAACATCCATACCCGGACAACGGATCTCATAACATTGATGAGGGGAAGTAGGAGGATCTGCCAGACTCCATGGCGAATCTGTGGGGCAGAGGGGCAATCCCGCCACCTCACAGTCAGTATCACCCACAGCAATGCTTTCTCATCACACATGAGAAAGCATTGCCACACAATCTCCCCCCTCCCCCGCCCCCTGGCCGCCCAGTGCTGGCAATGTTGCTGTCTACAGAACCCAGGGAGTCTCCTGTATTCTGGGCGAAGTGTCCTAGGATGCTTGCAGCACAGTTTATCTGTAGTGGGGACCAGAAGTGAGTGTGCATCATGTGATGGGTGGTGTGGGGCTCCATAGATAAAGTGTGCTTCAAGTGTCCTAGGATTTTTGTGAACACATGTGTGATGAAGTCATAAATGCAAAATATATTGGGTTGTTGTAGGTTTTTTCAGGCTGTATGGCCATGTTCTAGAGGCATTCTCTCCTGACGTTTCGTCTGCATCTATGGCAAGCATCCTCAGAGGTTGTGAGGTCACAACCTCTGAGGATGCTTGCCATAGATGCAGGCAAAACGTCAGGAGAAAATGCCTCCAGAACATGACCATACAGCCCAAAAAAACCTACAACAACTAAGTGATTCTGGCCATGAAAGCCTTCGACAATACGCAAAATAAATGTCTGCTTGTGGGTTTGGTTTGGATAATATATAATGAATGGTGTAGGGATGTGGGAAAAGTGCGAGATTGCTTCCTCGGCCTCTTATGGCTCAGTTGTTTTGGGCTTAGACTGACATTGAGCAATGGGAACAAGTGGATATTAGGCTGTTTCAATGACCCGCCAAGTTTGTCACATTTATTCCAGCAGCTCATGCCTTTTGAGCCTGGAGATGGTGTGTAATGAGCTCTCACTGCAAAATATTACATCTGTTTACTTGAAAGTAATTCTCATTGTGCTCAATGGAGTAAACTGAAACCTAAAATGTCAGAAAACTGATTTGGGTTTTAATGGCTAGATTGACATTGCATTGCCATTAGCCTTAGCAGCCTGTGTGGCTTTACGATACTTGCTCTGCCTGTTGCTTCATAAATGAACAGATTTGGACAAATTTAACAGAGGATTTCAGTGTTCCACAGGAAAGTTACACTTCAGAGCAAGATGGGTGGGGGAATAATGCACACCTCTTGTTCCAATTTTCACCGGATCTATGATCATGTTGCTTTCTTGCCTGCTAATCCATACAGATCAACTTTATCCAGACTGATCTAAAGCTGATAACAGCTAGCCAACTAATTAGCATGATAAAAGCAACAGCAAGAAAAGAAATACAAGAGCAATTTATTATTATTATTATTATTATTATTATTATTATTATTATTATTATTATTATTAACACAACAAGATGAGTCCACAGCAGACAAGATTGCTCTGCTGGCTGTTGTATTGGATCACATGTCGGACACTTCCCAAGTGTCTAAGGCTGTGTGATGTATCGGTGAATAATGTGTGCAGATCCAAGTAAGGTGGCCTTTTGCAGCTGGAAAATTGTAATTTTGTCAGTGCCAGTTGCGTTTAAGTGCAGGCCTAGGTCTTTAGGCACTGCACCCTATTGTTGTTGTTGTTGTTGTTGTTATTATTATTATTATTATTATTATTATTATTATTATTATTATTATTAGAAACACAACAAGAAGAGTCCACAGCAGACACTCTGCTGGCTGTTGGATTGGATAACACGTTGGACACTTCCCAAGTGTCTAGGACTCTGTGATGTATCGGCGAATAATGTGTGCAGATCCCAGTAAGGTGGCCTTTTGCAGCTGGCAGATGGCAATCTTGTCAGCCCCAATTGGGTTTAAGTGCAGGCCAAGGTCTTTAGGCACTGCACCCAGTGTGCCGATCACTACTGGGACCACCTTTACTGGTTTGTGCCAGAGTCTTTACAGTTTGATCTTTATATCTTCATATCGTCAGCTTTTCCAGTTGTTTCTCTTCAATCCTGCTGTCACCTGGGATTGTTACAGCGACAATCCATACTTTGTTTTTTAACACGATCGTGCTCCAAAACTCTGTCAGTCTGAATTCGGAAGTCCCAGAGTAGTTTGACATGTTCATTCTCTGTAACTTTTTCCAGCTTGTGATCCCACCAGTTCTTTGTCGCAGGCAGATGGTATTTGTGGCACAAGTTGATGACGTGGCTGTGGAGTCAGGCCTTCGATGAATGAGAGAACACCATAGGACCCTGGATGGAAGTTGATGTAGATCCATCTTAATAGGACGACTGACCACTGTAGTTTTATATATAGTGTTTTTAAAGTTGTTTTTGTAATTGTGATATATGATATTTTAATGAGTGTATATGTTTTTTATGGCTGGAAACCGGGCTGAGTCCCTCAATGAGGTTGAGAAGCTCGGTATAGAAAACTGTGAAATAAATAAATAAATAAATAAAATAAGTTCCAATGAATCAGCTGAGCAACGGTGTTAAGCCTCTGCTTGTAGTCTGTCTGCGCGATCTTCTTGCAGCAGCTGAGGGTGTGATCTAATGTTTCATCTGCTTCCTTGCAGAGTCTACACTTGGGATCTGTCGTCGACTTTTCAATTCTGGCTTTAATGGCATTTGTTCTAATGGCTTGTTCTTGGGCTGCCAGAATCAGGCCCTCCATCTTTTTCAGAGTTCCATTTTTGTGAGCCACAGCCATGCTTTTTCTTTTGTCAGTTTGGCCCTCAATTTTTCCCAGGAACTGTCCATGGAGAGCCTTCTTTCTCCAGTTTTCTCGTCTGCTCTGGATTGTGTAATAATAATAATAATAATAATAATAATAATAATAATAATAATAATTGTATACCCTGTTTTTTCTCTCCACAAGGAGACTGACTATTCTTTGATGGTGATCTTAATGCTGCCTCTTCTTTGATGGTGACCTTAACAGATGGGTTAGTTATTATTTTATTTATTTATTTATTTATTACTGCGCTTGTATACCGCCGTTTCTCAGCCTACATTGGCGACTCAACGCGGTTTACAACACTACAATAATCAACAATCAGTTTAAAAAGCATAAAAACACATACACAATACACAATATTGGGCCACCAATACAAACCAATGCATCTCTTAACTAAAATCATAATCCAATTTCATCGTCTGTGATTACCAGTCCTTGATCATCAATTTCATTGCACTGGATTAGCCGAATGCTTGTTCGAACATCCATGTCTTCAGTCTTTTTCGAAACACCATCAGCGAGGAGGCTGATCTTATCTCTATGGGGAGGGCATTCCAAAGCCGAGGGGCCACCACAGAAAAGGCCCTGTCTCTCATTCCCGCCAGCCGCACCTGTGAAGCAGGCGGGATAGAGAGCAGGGCCTCCCCAGAAGATCTTAGGGTCCTGGTGGGCTGATAGGCCGAGATACGTTCGGATATGTAGGTTGGGCCAGAACCGTTATCCTTAGCACATATAGAAACCCACATAAATTGGCATTCAGACGTGTATACGTGAATCAACCCAAATTACTCCAAATGATGTACTTTCCCTCTCTTTAAAATGGGATCAACAAGGGCTATCAACAGTTTTGTTTTATGAGTCTATAAAGGAATATCATAAACAACCACTGTGTATACATTTTGTCTTAATACATCATTAGAAAGACTTGTTAGCATGAATAACTAAGAAGCAATGAACAAAAGGCAAGAGAAAGGCCAGATTTCCTTTAACAGAAAATGCCATACCAGCTAAAAAGCAAACTCTCCAGAGGCCAGAATGCAGAGACATCTTGACTTCGGTACTCTGGTTTTGGGGTAAAATGATCCCTTCTTCCAGATATAACCAGTAGTCGGTGCTCACAGCAATACCCAGCAGCCCTAAACTGCAGACGGCAAACACGCTGCTGAGCAGAGTCAGGGCCTTCCTGCCACAAGTGCTCATTCCCAAAAGCATCAGGGCCCAATGGGAGGACAAAAGAGAACTCCTAAGCAGAGGGGAGAGAGAAAAGGAGAAAAGCCTGTTAGCAGCAGAGAAAGTGGGCTCTGTTAAAGCTGTTTGCTAAAACGCCATCCCCTTCTGTACATGCACCATTGGGCAAACAGCACAAAAAGACCCCCCCCCCCCGATAAACTGGAAACACAAATGACTGCAACACTCTAGTATGTCCTTCAAGACAAGCATGAAGGATATTCACAAGGGCTTCCTGAACAGCATTTTCTAAGACGCATTTCTACATTTCAGCTTGTCTCCTTGTGCCAGAAGTAGAAACCAGCAGAGACATCTGTGTTTACGGAGTAGCTTTCTTCCCCTTCTCTTCCTGCCTCAGATATTTTACTCTGATAAAGCCAGGATACTATACAAGACTGTCTGCATTTATCTATTTGTCTGCATTGGGACAAATATCCTTTGTCCCTATGAATGTTCACTAGGGCTTCAGATATGGCAAGCAGAATGATTTTGACAGTGATGAAGGCTTGATGAAAATACATAATACACATATTGGAAAATATATTTGATATAACCATATTAGAAATAGGAGTTAGAAAATATATAAGAAAAATGTATGTAAGCATGGCTAGTTCACTGGACCTCTCAAAGGCTGCAAAATTAGAGGCCAGCTCCAGGAAAGGAATGTGGTGCCTGGCACTTCGAGAGGCCATAAGATAAGATACATACCAGGCCCCAGGCACCTTATCGTAAATTTGCCATTAAGAGGTGCCTGGTACCTTATCGTAAAATTGACTAATGAAGTGTCCATTAGGGGGTCTCAGGAATGTTATCTCAGGATGGATGGAGCAGGTCCGGAGACATCCCGGTGCTGGGAGTGCATTAATAGCCACTCTTTAGATAGTCCACTAATGAAGATTGACAACTTGTTGATTTTGAAAATATGCTTTTGAAGTCAGTGAAATAGTAGAGATTTGTGACGCATATTGTGATGTTTCTGTGATGCATGAATACTTATTTTCAAAAATGTATATATACTCTGCATTTCTTTTGTTCGGGACCCTTCTTTCCTGGCCTACCAGGGGGTCTATATCCGGTTGGCGCCAACCGAGAATAAAGCGTGCTTTCCAGTACTCTGGATCTCTCTTTGTCTTTGTTCCTCAAACCATCTCTCTTCCCTAACATTCTGGCGAGCCAGCCAGGAGGCTTTTGAGAGAGGTTTGTAGGGAAAAAGATTAAAGACAGAGGCCTTTTGGGAGGCCTGGAAGATTCCTCCGAGGCAGCAGGCTGGCTGCATCATTTCGACAGCACTCTCACCGGCCGGCATTGGAGGGAGCCCTCGGGAAGGTGAAGACAGACTGCTGCTTCTGACGAAATTCCATCCTTTCACCTAAGAGGCTGCGAAAACCACGGATCAGGCGAGTATGAATTGCACCATGACATTTTAGGAAAGTGTAGACGTCAGGAAAAGCCTTAGCATTTTGCTGAAGGCCCCAGGAGTAATTAACCTGGAAAAGGCAGTCCCGAGTAGACTTTTTGGGATTTTTGGGTGTGCCAGAAAGGGAAACCGACTGCCTAGAGAGAGAGAGAAAAAAGGAAAAGGTTGGGAAAAGCCTAGATACATTGTTGTATGATTGATTGTCGGTATGACTGAATCAATGTTGTATGTTGTATGAAAGAGTTCAGATGCTGTGTGGTTAGGTCCCACATACCTTTTCCCTCCTTTGTGTATTAGTTGTCTGTTTGTCTAAAACATGTGATGGTCATTCAGAAGCAAGCTTAAAGCCCTGCTAGGGTACATGTTAGCAGATTTTGAGAAAAGTTTTGCAAAACTAGATTTTGGGCAGGAATAAATGAGATCAAATCTCCTATCCTGTCCCACTCTTTTGGTTAAGAAATGCCTAACCTCCCTACTCTACTGAGATGATGGGAGATCCACAGAAGTCCTGCAAATCCAGCCCTCCAGCCAGCAGCAGCAAGAAGCCAGTATAGCCCTCCAACATCACAGTGTCCCTACATAGAAGATACCTGAATCTTTCCCCATCAGATGATATAGATGACCCAGATTCTATGCCGTCTGAGTCCACAGCCACTCATTTCTAACAGACATAGCTGAATGGTTGTGAATAGAGATCAAAAGGAGAAGATAAGCAGTGACAAATGAAGGCTCAAGCCATTTGCTTATCAGCGGCATTAAGGGAATGGAAGCAAATAAAAAGAGGGCGAAGCAGAGGGTGAAGTATGAGCCAGAAAAGAGGACAGCTTCTTGAGCCGAATCAATGTCTGAACTGTAAGAATCATGGACATTGAATGAGAAACTTCCCAGATGATGAGTGGAAGAGAAAAAGGCTACCAGGGGCAGATAGGAAGACCCAGAGAGCTGCCCTTCTATCAAGAGTCACAGAAGCAGCTTAGGAAAAAAAAATCATTGGATTGGCCAAATGCCCCCAATGAAGAAGGCAGAAGACTCAAGTCAGTCAAGAGTTCTAACCTTAGGATCCCTATTCAAGGAAATAGTAGGATCCCAGAAAACATTTTTGGTAGACATAAGAGCAGAAGAAATCAGTGATACCAGTGGCACCGTAACCCAGAAAGCCATAAAGCTCATGGGAGCCATTGAAGATCAATGCCTACCTCCTTTCCAAAGAAAGAAAAGAAAGAAAGAAAGAAAGAAAGAAAGAAAGAAAGAAAGAGGAATAAAACGTCAGCTAGCAACAAAAGAAGTTACCATCAGTTTTCTATATATGCCTAACTGCCCAGTTCAATTGCTGGGAAGTGACTTGCCATGCAAACAAAGTCTAATATTATTCTTTGAAGAAAATGAATTTGCTAAGATGGCTTTAGAAAATAACAAGCCTTTTGCACCTCACCTGTCCCATGGTGGAGGCTGCTAGTAGTTTAAAAAGGCTCAGAGAAAAATGAATAGGAGAAAAGTTTGAAACTCCTGAGGTATGGGCAGAAAACAAGCCCCCCGGAATAGCCAAATGCATATCTCCGGAAATAGTACAGCCGATTCCAGGAGCCTGTCAGTCAGTCTGAAGGAAACACTCCAATTCCTAGACCCAGCCGTGCAAAAACTGAAGTCAAATACTTAGGATTCCATATAAAAGATGGCCATAGGACTGAAAGCAAGCCATCTGCCAGATCTTAGTCCCCAATACAAGGAAGCAAGTCCAATGCAAGTRCATAGGTGCAACAAGATTCTGTAAAATTTGGATCTCTATGAAGTAATTGGCAAATTCTTGTGTCAAGTTACAAAGGGGGGCGAAAGAGAGCCCTTCTAGTGGACACAAAAGCAAAATGCTGCCTTTCAGCAAATAAAAGTCTGTGCTGAGGACAGTCTGCTTTATGCCTGCCTAAGTAACAAAATCCTTCACTTGTTATGTTGCTGAGAAGGAAGATGTAGCAACAGGCATTTAACTCAAACCATAGACTGTTAGAACTCAAAGGAACCGATTGCTTAGCACCTCAAGAATGCTAAAACATCAGGCACTGTTGTGAATCCTTACATTAAAGGTTCAGCAATGCAATGGTTTAAACTTGCTACCCTCCTGCAAAAGGAACATCATAGCTGTATTGAAAAATGGACATAATATATACCAGTTGTCCTGACTTGACTGATGTTCCATTGCAAGGAGTTCAGCTTATTAAATACNCTTAAAGGTTCAGCAATGCACTGCTTTTAAACTTGCTACCCTCCTGCAAAAGGAACATCATAGCTGTATTGAGAAATGGACACAATATACCAGTTGTCCTGACTTGACTGATGTTCCATTGCAAGTTCAGCTTATTAAATACACTGATACAAAGCATGTACTTTCAGTACTACATGTCCATAGTGCACTTTACAAAGAAAGAGGACTTTTAACTGCAGCATGCCAACCAGTCAAACATTCAGAAAAAGATATTGCATTTCTTAGAAGCTGTATGGGTCCCAAAACAGGTGGTTGTAATGTACAGGGCAAGGTAGGATCCTTTAGCCAAAGAAACCAGAGGACAGATGCAGATGCCAAGAAGCAGATGCCATGTCTCTCCAGGTGGCTATCCTACTTCCTTTGCCCAATCCCAGTGTGCAGCCTACCTATAATAAAGAAGAACAGCAATGGGCCCAGGACAATGGTGCAATAGACTTAGCTAACTCTATTGGTTGGTGAGCTTTTCCAGATAAAGAATAATTGTCCCCAGAACCATGGCATGAAAAGTAGTAAAAGGAACTCATGAGTCATTTCAGGAAAATGGCACTAGCTAATCTCTTAGAAAGACAGTTAAACATAGATTGTCTTCACTTTCTTGACAATAGTAGCTTCAGCTAGGAGGTGTCATACCTGTGCCAAAAACACTCAGTGTCAGGGGCAATGCCATCCCCCAGGTACTCAGCATTGTGTAAATGTACACTTTGAAGCCATAGTTGTAACAGTGGTACATATTAGATGCATTCCCACCAGAACCATTGAACTGTTTTCGTTTGCAATGTTGTATGAGAGGCTCCTCCTTCATTCCCAAGGTCATAAAGGGGAATAGCATGAGAAGGGCCCAGGTAAAAGACAGGAAATGGTTGCTTTGGGAAAATGCTGCAATAGTTATGGCAAATGTTTAATGAGTTCAGGACACACACACACACCTGACCCCCATTTGTTTGTTTAAGCAAGGGGATGAGGTGTGGGTTAAAGATTGGTAATGAGGAACTTTGCAACTCAAATGAAAAGGTCTATGTGGTGATTTTTACATCACCTAGTGCAGTTAAGGTAGCAGAAATCAAAACCTTGCTCCCTTGGAGTAGAATTATGCAAACTGCTCCCAGTTAGCAAGCTATTCTAGATCCCAAAACACCCACTAAAGCTTAAATTAACCAGAGATTGTGGTTGTTCTAACCAAATGGAGAAAGGTGGCAGAAAGAAGATTCAGACTAGACATTACTGCAAGACA